GTCGCCAGGATTGGCACGTGGCAGTTGTTTCGACATTGGTTTGCGAGGGAGGGGTGTGCGTGGGTGGAGGGGTTATCCATGGACGCTTCAAACCGGGCAGCAGCGGGCGATCGTAGTTAAAATTCCGCTTCTCGGTCTGCGTTAATCGGTGGGGTTGGGTAGGGACGGGGTGGGAGGGATTGTGGGTGTTAGGGTACTCATTCGGCACTCATCTTAAAATGACTGCACATTAGGTCATTTTGTCTCGATGCGGTCATCAACTCACCTCACCCTCATCACCGCTTTTTGTACAGCGTTAAGTAAATAAAAACAAACAAGGGATGTTCATTGATGATACATTTGATCGTCATGATCAACATCATCGTCGTCATCATAATAAGCCATTTCCCCATACACTGCTGGATGAAGGCAACCCCAATCCTATGCCAATTTCTCGCGGTCTCGCGGTGGTGCAACAATCCACGCGTTGCATTGAGAGACGCTGCGCGTGTGGACGCTCCAAATGTGCGTGACGTTGCAAATATTCGTAATGCGCTTTGCGGCAAATGATCGCCTCGTCGGTCGCGGGCAGCTCTAGCAGGCGATCAAGTCGCGTTTAGCGCGTGATTAATATGCTCCTGATGCGGCTTGCGGCACGTGGTCGCGAGTTACGTAAGGCGGCAAAGCCGGCTGCGTAGCGGCGGTTGTCGTGATGATTTCATTTGATGCGCAAAAGAAGAAGGGCCGTTGCCTCTGACGTAGCCTATTATATAATTAAGTTAAGCAATTTACCTTGTTAAGGCACAGTCCAATGGTATTGCTGAACGTGTGTTTATTAATGTAGCGATGGTGTGTCGGCTCCGCACGATGCGAATGAAGTTCAACATGCATACACACATAGTGGTTTTTGTGGCGGTGGTTTTTGTGGTGGTGAATTTGGTTTTCGTGGTGGTTGTGGGTGTCGTGGTGGTGGCGGTGGTTTTGGTACTGGTATTAATGGTGGTTTTGGTGGGAGGGGTGATCTTCGTGTTGGCGGTTTTGGTGATGGTGGTGGCTGCGTTGAAGGTTACGATGATTGTTCTTGGTGGTGGTGGTGGTTATTTTTAGTCGTGGAGGTTGTGGTGACGGTGGTGATGGTGGTGGCTGTGTTGGAGGTGATATTGGTTGGTGGTGGTGGTTGGGGCTATGTTAGTGGTGGCGGTGGTGGTTTTAGTGATGGTGGTGGCTGTGGTGGAGGTGATTATAGTTAGTGTTGGTGGCGCACACCTCTAACACAACGCTATTTGGAGGCGAGGGTTGGTGGGTCACGTTGATGTTTTCCCCGGGTATTCGAGATTCCCAAAATACAGATGCAATGAAAAATGTCAGAAATATACGACTATAGCCGGAATAGATATAGAGAAAAGAATCCTCGTCAAACCCTGGCTTGCCAGTGCCTTCCACATGGCTCTCCAGCAGCAAACACACTTGCGGGGAGTAAAGGAAATTTCCTGGTGACGATGAAGCGATGAGGTGGCATGTGAGCGAGTGAGCCGGGGAGCGAGACAAAGGCTCATCTGGACGTGGCCCTGAGACATCGATGACAACGGATGATGTTGATAATGGATGGTGATCTATGATGATGGTGGTGGTGATAACTGACCAAGCGAATTTTACTTTAATTAGACGGTATGTGGATTTTCAATTACATAAATGTGACTCATTGCTGCTCGACATCAGCCACGAACGTGATAAATTAACAGTCTACTTAACAGCGCTTCCAAGAATACTTAACACATTTCAAAGTAGAATACTGTAATGCCGTCGTGCGTCCTGGAGCAATTTCACTCCGTAGCTCGTTTTCAGTCGACACACCGAGTACTCGGTTAAAGCCATGCCACTTTTATGAATGAACATCACCGAGTCTTACAATGCTGGTATCAACAATAATATGTGTACAGCACTTAGGTAATTCACTGCTCAGGATGAAGGCCTCCCCACGCCGGTTGCCGATCTGTCATGGACGTTATAGGACCATACTTCACCACATTGGTCAGTGCTGGTTGGTGAAGAGGGGGGGGGGAGCCCGGGACTGTTTGAGATATCTCTCGCCACTTGATGTTAGCCGTGGTCATAAATCGAACGCAGTGCTCTAACCACTGTGCCACCGTTTCGAACGATATGTACGTTGAATTTCTTTTTCGCACCGTACGTAGCCAGCCGTGCTAATCGGAAAGCCTCACTGAGTATGACGCCTATTTGTCAGTAGGGACCCAGAATTGGATGTTTGGCCAATTACATTTACACGCGTTTAGACGTGCGAGTTTGGGCAGGGCATGTTGCCCGACTGTATCTCTTCTAGGCTGATGAATGAGTGACTGGGCTAGTGAAGGGAATGGCAGCCGACGGAAAGAAGAGCACGCGCCCGAGAGAACGACTGCAGCGGAGAAGGGAGATGTGGCGACGCGATCATTGGACGTGCCGGCGGCAGCGAGATGACTGCGGCATCGCAGAGCGGACGTGGAGGTGTCGTGCGGGAGGGATCCCACCGTTGGCACCAGTGGCCGAGAATCGAACTCGAGGGCGTCCAGGTTCACAGTGCAGCGCGCATCACGAATGTCCAATGCGAACTCCGATATATGACAATTTGGTGGTTCTTTTTGCGTTTCGTTTTTTGCTGTTGCTTGGTCTTTCTCCCCGTACCTCCGACTCGTACGGTTGGATCCGTACGGTGCGAAAGAAGTTTAACATACCGAACACGTACGACTGCCGATGAGTGGATTCTTCGAATCGATTAAATGATTCAAGCGCATTCTTCCGACGGCTTTTGCCAAGGGAGAAAGGACGGGGAGGGGGGGGCTGGAGGGTTTTATATTCCTGACCCGAGTTGAATGTCCACGTGGTTATTTTAAAACGTATCGTTCATAATCCAACAATACGTCGCTCGATAGTGTTTGTCACACGCTTACTCCGAGAGCAATGCAGACGCGCATCCTGGCGCTTTATTAGGAATAACACGTGGAACTATGCAGTTTAAAATAATCTAGCTTGTAAATTCACATCCTTAGAACCCCTTTTTGTCTTTAGTTTGTTGCCTTTCCCCCGCACCTCCGATTAGCACGGTTGGGTGCGTAGGGTGCGAAAGAAGTTCAACGGGCAGACAGACATGAGCGCACTGGCTGGGCAATCCAGAGGTCGCTCAAGCGATCTCAAGGCAGGTTAAACAATGTCCATGTTTCTAAAACGACATTCTTGGTTATTTCGGTAAAGTGTTTTTTTTGCTTTTATTTTTAATTTATTTTCAATTTTAATTGTATTCTTTTTGAGTCTATCTACGTGACTTTACCGAAAGAACCAAGAATATGTACCCCCCCACAAAGCCCCCGCCCAGCAGTATAAATTGGTACCCGCTAGCTAATCGATCCGCAGGGCGCGTGTGCTGGGGTAAAGCGTGGGTACTCGGAAACAATAATTGTATTTAGACTGGAGGAATCCAATGAGATATACAGCTTTTTTGCGCAGATGTCCAGTAGTGGGCGGGTCAAATCGTTAGAACAAACAATACAATTACACGATACGAGTGCAACGTATGGGAAAGGCACTCCCACGTCTTCCAAAACAGCGCGGAAGAGTAGGCCAAAAACACCACCTTAGAGAGATTGTCTAGAGCTCTCGCTACGGGCGGAGGCCCTTCCGCAGGCAGTGGGGTGAGCGAGCACTTACAGGGCTCCACCTTTATCTTTTCACCTTGAGCAATGATATAGATCAACACCTATATATACATAGCCTTGTGTAAAGATGATGCAGATATGAGAAGCGATAGCTTCATCGTCGTTATCATAATGGGTATCAGCATTGTCATCAGCATCGTCGTCGTGCCCAACGTCAGCAGTTGCATTGCGAGAGTTTTAGCTGCGGGCGAAGTGCTTCTCTACAAACGTGCCACGAGAAAGCAGCGATGGGAGGTGGCGTGCGAGGAGCAACATGAAAACAGCCCACCCTCCTCCCTTGACCAATAACTGCAGCCGGGCCGCAAGCCAGTAGCCAGCCACGCGTGGTCGGAGAGTGACGCACAGAGTCACAACCAACACACACACACGCACAGGGAGAGATCGAGACACGCACAGACCAAGAGGGACTTCACAGACGCAAAGAGATAGGAACACAGAGAGGCATAGAGAGTCACGCACACACTAGGGGGCGGCACACACAGAGGGAAGGGACACGCGCGCGCACACACACGGGAGAGAGACACACGGGGAGAGGGACACACGGGGAGAGGGACACACACAGAGGAAGAGACACACACAGAGGAAGAGACACGCTCACACATAAGGATAGAGAGCGAGAGATTGACACGCGTACCCATTCGGGCTGGGTGGGAGCTGGGGGATTCACCAATGTAGAAAGTGAACGAGAGAGAGAGGGGAAAGAGAGCGCGCTAGAGAGAAAGGAGGGAGCTCGCGTCCGCGTGCGCAACTCAACAGCCGCCTCCCTCCCACGTCAACTCCAGATTCGGCGATTCGCGTCGACTCGTCGCAGTCGAGGCACACGCGACGGACGGCAGGAATTAAGACCCGGCGGGATTCGCCGTTCCCAAGCCGGAGCTGCGGATGGGAAGCCTCCGTAACGTCATCGCGACCACGAGCAGATTCTTCGAGGAACCTAACAGAGGCACGAGTTTAAGTCGGGGGGTTCCTCGGTGGGGGTAGAGGCGAGGGTGAGGAGGAGGAGGGACGGTGGGGGGGTGATCCTCGGGCAGCAGAGACCGCATCTCTCTCGCCGCCACAGCGGACGGCCCCACTGCTTTGCTGCCCGCCGAGTGGGTTCGTGACAAACGGGGAGGCGGTCGACGCGTCTCAAGGGGAACGAGGGCAGGGACAGCACCGCGGGAGGTTTGTGGCACAGCGCGTGGGTGCTGCTCGCGGTAGGTCACGCCGCTGTTGGCACGACCGCTTAAACATTCCGCTCGTCGCTGCAGTGTGCGCGCTGGTGCGCACGTTATGTAACGCGCGCCTCGGTTGCCCTGCTCATGCTGTTGTTGACGATGCTCGCTGCTGCGGCTCCATGACCTCTATGCACGTGTCGGTGGCGGGTCGCGCTCGGGCTTGCCGATGCCCTCTGAGGTCTTAAAGGATGCCACAACTTGCTCGCCGTCGTAGGAATGGGGAATTCCCACCGCTGGCGGCGGATGGAGGTGAGATGCGTCGCCAGGACGAGGCAGTGAGACGTCTTGACAGAGAGTCAGTCGCGGTTTCATTCGCTGCTTGTTGAACGCGTCGCCGACGTTTTTTTTTTTGTTTCAGAGATTCGTTTTAGAAGCAAAAAGGCTTGTGTTGTGATGCTTTCGTGAGAGTTTCATAGTCTGGTTACAATGTCTCTCCACTCGGGCTGTTTTGTCACTTTCTATTTCGACACCGTCGATACAGTAATCCTCTCGTCTAAAGTGGCGGTAAATCGCGTGGCTTTCTTTTCTATTTGCATCTTGGTACGTAGACCACTGATGCGGCGTGGAGCGGTGGCGCCGTGGTTAGCGCACCGCGCTCTGAAGCCGGCTAATTCGAGTTCAATTCCTGACCACGGCCATGGTCCTCAAAACCCCTCCCGCCCCCCACCCTCTCTTCACCAACCGGCATTTGGCCAGCATGATAAAGTATGGTCAAAACCACCCACCTTGTCGAGTTGACCTGGGGGGCGGGGGGGTATGCTCAATTCAGATGCTGACAGTAAATCATTCTGAACGTGCCCCGTCTCGTCAGATCGACAGCTAAGCAGGGTTTAGCCTGTTCATCCACTGCGTGGAAACACCAGGTGTTATAGGCTTTTTTTGGCTGCAAGATGACTGTAGAGGAGGCTGGTAGGGCAACAACGGATCTCGAACTAAATGTATCTGCGCGGAGCGTGGAGCGTTATCCCTTCTTCGGATTCATGTGTGTGTGTCCCGAGCGCTCCAGCTGCCTTCCGCAAAGCAAACACACACGGTGAGTGACGTTGGTCAAACATCCAAATGCAGACATCGTGCTCAACAGGATTCAGCCAGTTCTGCCGTGCAGCTAAACCAGTGGGGTCCGGGGGGGGGGGGTCCATAGCAGCTCCCAATGTGTAATTTGGGTTGCGCTGCGCACGCGATCTTCCGTGCGATTTCTCACATTTCGCTCCGTTCGCCGGGATGCCGTCTCCTGAACAGCAGAAGCTGTTCAGGAGACGGTTTAACGCATCTCATCGAACGATGGCCATGAATAACCACTCGGAACTGTGAACCCACTGACGTGCGTTCGATTGCCGGCCGGCCCAGTCGAGTGACATCTAAAAACAAACAGTTGACCGGTGCGGTGATGTATGGGCCGACAGCCGGCTGACCACCGTGCCATGGAAAGTCTTCATCGAGGACCGAGTAGACTAAAATACCATCGAGAGCTCCATCCAGTGGAGGGCCATCTGCCTACAGTGATGTGGGCAAGCAGTTGCAGGGCTGCACCTCTGCCTTTTTTTTCAGTCACCGTGACTTTGCCACAGCCACCCATCGCTGATAGCGCGCGCAACTCACAATCGTCACCCTGTGTGGGGACTCCAACCTACACAGATCTGGTTATGAGCTTTCCACTTGCGCGCTCAAAGGGCCTCTCGTCTCCCACAGATCACCCCCACCACCACCACCCCTGCTGCCCTACCCCCTGCTCAATGTCTCACCTTCTCTCCCCGTGTGCGTCCCCACCCCCCGTCATTATCCACTCCCTGTTAAGTCGTATGAGCCTGGCGGGGTGGGGGGGTGCTGCTGAGCGGGCGAGTCACAGCCAGGTCTCAGTCCACGTGGGTTGACGACGAAGCACGCGGTGTCACACACAAGGGCGCCACGCAGTCACGCGAACGAGAGCGTGGGGGTAGGCAGGGGATGCCTTGGCCACCCCCCTGTAACGGCGAGTCATTTTGGGACATGCTTTAGTGGGTTTCAGTTTGTACCCACAACCCTAGCTAGCATCGCCGTTATTTAAATTATGGTAATGCCTCTATTTCACGCGACGCCCCAAATGACCGTGTGCGGAATATAACCAAGACCACGGCCGGTATATTCCAAATGTATATGGTTTACTTAGAATTAAATGTCTACACAAATATTACATTGTCAAAGGGCAACAGGCTTACTACTTCCGCGGAGGAGTGCACGTATCACAAGCCACTATACCAGCGGTCGGGAACCTATGGCTCGCGAGCCATATATGGCTCTTCCGGTGACGCATATGGCTCCCAGACAATTTTGAGTTGAAAAAAAAATCAGTTTGGAACTGATTTTAAAATACTTGTGATATTGCTTAATAATACTGTGCCATTTTAAAGTAAACAGAAATTAGTTTTGAAGATAAATTTCACGGGTCACGGGTCACGGGTCCAGTGACCAGAAGTCGCATTAAAAGTAAGACATATTTAATTTATTATACGTTAAAAATACTATATGGCTGTCAATGAAAGATATTTAGAAATATTTGGCTTTTATGGCTCTCCCAGTCAAAAAGGTTCCCGACCCCTGCACTATACCAACTCAAATGACCCGCGCAAAAACATAACCAACACCATCATACAAGCCCACGACCACGGCTTCACCGACTTCCTCCACCACGAACGCTAGGGGGGGGGGGGGGGGAAACCCCAAAGGCACCTCGAGCCGGATCAGTCCCGGCTACCTCGAGCAGGGTCAGGGTCGGGATCGAACCCATGACCTCCTGTATATACCAGGCGAGGCAGTTAACATCTCGCCACCGTGACGATTGCCCGCACCCCCTGCACTGATAATGTAGAAAGTTACTACGCCACGGGCCCCACGCGTTGGTTAAACGGGTCGAGCCCTCGGCGATGTGTGTGCCAAACGATTTGCTATCCAGTCCGTGGAGCCGGGCCGAGTCTGATGCAATTTTGCATAATTGGCGGAACAATCTTACCTATAAAAGGCATTTTTTTGTCTGTCTTTCTGTTCGTCTGTCTGTATGTGTGTGTGTTCGCACACTTGCGAAGGATTTGTCTCTCAAACAGTGGGGTACGTAAAAATAGCCAGATATCACGCTGTAAGCCCCGCGGTGGGCAAGCGCTAATTGTTTTCCACGTCTCTCAACTTTTAATTAGTTAAATTAGCTATTTAGTGCGATGTATCTATATTTAATTATTTAATATGCCACTCGGCTGACGGGGGTTGTCCCTGGCAATGCACACGCGTCATCGGTGGAGAGGGGGGATTTCTCTTTCGCCTTCATAATGCAAAAAACGCTGAAGTAAATTATTCAAAGTTTCATGTCCCACCCCCCACCCAATGTGTGCACTTACTACTAAAGAGTCCGTAGATATTCATATCATAGTGCTTAGATAGTATTATTGTAGCGCAGGCAGGGGGATGGTGGGGGGGGGGTACCGGCCCAGACCCCAGCCGGCCAATGTGCTATCTCGGCCGGCTGGGCAATCTAGGCGAGGCTGGGGGCTCTGCACGGGACTAGGCCTCACCAAGGCAATGTTAGGTACTAATTTCTTGCTTCTTGCGCTAAACTCATGTACATAGAAACACTATTATTATAAACATAATTTTGGAAATATTATAATAATTATATTTGTGTGTAGACAACCAATATTTCAAAATTAAGTTGCAAAATATTAAAATATGAATGTGTGTTTTTATGAAGCTGCGCCAGTCTACTGGCAGTCTGTCATGTGGCCTGTTGCCTGCTTATTAATTAAAGTCAGTGCACTGGCAGTGTATTATCTACACTGTTAACATTGCTACTGGCCAGGGTGAGTGTATGCCAGTCTATGACCTGTTGCCTGCTTCTTTACCTCGCTCAGTGTACTGCCAGTCGTTCATGTCGACTGTATCCTGCTTTTTAAGCTGCTGACCATATTGCCAGCTTCTTACGTCGACTGTAGCAATGCTTAGGTCATTGAGTCAGCATACTGCCAGTCTATAATCTAGACTCTAGCCTGCTTATTAACTTAAGTGTGTGTACTGCTGCTCTATAATGTAGACTTATTCTAGCTTCTATCTTCACGTCCCAGCTCATCAGGCACACCCGACACTTGACTCCTGGGATATGGAGATGAAACAAACTCTACTCTACTTACCAAATCGAATCTCGACACATTGCGGCTGCACGACCCGAACCACATCAACCGGCCCTCTCCATGGTTGCAGCAATTTGGGAGATGTGCCCACCGGCACCTGCGGACAATGCAACCAGGCCCTGTCCCCCGGTGACCAATCGCACAAGGAAACACGGGCTTCCTTGAGCCGCTCGTTGGCCAACTGTTTGGCCCGGGAGTTAACACTGGCAACTTTCAGCACCTCGGAAAGTTTGGCAAGAGTGAAATGAACCGAATCAGAAATTTTGAACACTTGCGCAGCAGGCGTGGCTTGTAACTGCACATCGATAGGAGGATCATACTCCCTCCCATACATCAAAAAGAAGGGAGAGTAGCCGATGGACGTGTGAGGGGTCATCCTATAAGTGGCGAGAACCGCTGGAATATGCAAGTCCCAATCGACCTGTGACTCGCTGACCAAGTGACTCAACATGGAGATCAGAGTCTGATGTAGGCATTCGACCATGCCATCTGTTTGCGGGTGGTACGGTGACGTGCGTACCTTTTTCGTTCCCAGCAAATCGGAAACTTCACGCAGCAGCTTAGACACATTTTTTTGACCTTGATCACTCAAGAGGCGCTTGGGGGCACCCTTATCCAGAACATAGCTATTGAGGAATGCCTCGGTAATAGTCACAGCCAATTGATTCGGGAGCGGCCAGGCCATAGGCCAGCATAATAAATACTCAACGCCCACGAGCAAGTACCTATTTCCACGCGCAAAAGTAGGAAACGTCCCGGGAATATCGAGGGCAACAATTTCGTTAAGAAGCGACACCTGGATGGATTGCAGTGGAGGGCAACAGGATCTCGGTGGCGGCTTCCGCCGGTCACATTGCACGAAGCCCTTAAGCAGATCCTCGACGTCGGAGGCCATGGCCGGTCAATAAAAATCCAATTTAAGAGCGGCCAGCGTCTTTTGCAATCCGGGATGCAACAATCGTTAATGCACAACCCATACAACCTCGCCACGCAGGGCGGTAGGGACAACTAGCATAACGGCGCAATCCCCTGTCCCAATACATGAGCAACCTGCCCCGCAGGACAAACGAGGTGACACCCCGCGGAGCCGTGCCACCAGCGGTATCCCTCACACGCCGGTGCAACTTAAAGAGAGACGCGTCCTCCGCCTGCAGGCGTCCCCACACCTCGTAGTCCAACCCGATAACCACATCCCGTGCGGCAGGGACGTCGCCCGTCCCGCCCATCGTGTCCGCGATATGTAACTTGGAACGAAATTTTTTGCAGGATTTCAAGCCAGCGTGACAATTGACCTGAGGGCTGATCCACACTCAGCACGTACTGGAGCACCGTATGATCGGAGCGCACCTAGAAATGTCTCCCGTACAAGTAGGGCCGATATTGTTGCACAAAAACCACAATGGTCAATAGTTCCCGGCGTGTTACGCAGTACCGCTGCTCGGCAGGAGACAGCACCCTGCTACCATACGCGACCACGTGTTCCACGCCAGTGACAACCTGGGATAACACCGCACCAATGTTGGTATTCTAGATTTGTTCTAGATTTGAAGCTTTCGTGACTGCAATGATTCATATTCTTGGGTTTTTTTGGTAAAGTCACGTAGGTAAAAAAATTAAAACTAAAATTACTAAAAGTAAAATAAAAATAAAACAAAAATCACGACGTTTCGGAGGCAACACAAGCTTCCGTCTTCAGGTGGAACCGTCACAGCACGATAGCTATTACTGGCGTCCGTGTCCAACACGAATGGCAACGAAAAGTCGGGATAACGCAGGGGAGGGGCGTTAACCAGCCCATCACGAATGGAGCGAAACGCAGCTCCCTCCTCCTCCCCCCAATGAAATGTTTGGCCCTTAGCTGTCAATGCATGGAGAGGTTTCGCAATAGATGAGAAACCCGCGACAAATCAGCGATAGTAAGAGGCAAAGCCGATAAAACTGCGCATCTCACTGGCCGAGATGGGGGTCGGCCACGTAGGAATGCAAGCAGTTTTCTCGGGGTCTGTCACGATGCCCGATTAGCTAACTATATGGTCCAAGTATCGAATCGATTTTTGGAGTAGGTGACATTTCTGGGGCTTGAATTTCAGGTCGGTCGCACGCCCCTTAACGAAAACAGCCCACAGGCAATCCAAATGCTCATCAAACATGCGACCGAAATCAATCACGTCGTCCAATTACATTAGGCACGAATCCCACTGGAGGCTCGCTAAAACCAACTCCATCAGACGCTGAAAGCAGATCATGGAAGGCACAATACCCGGTTTACGTGCGCGAAGATGAGCAACGATTACGTGGTTAGATAACATCAAAGCATGGACGAGGCTCACGCTGGAATAGACAGTGTGGATAGCAGAAGACCAAAGTCAGTGGTGAAGGATTGTCCATAGTGCAGCAAACCCTCGGAGCGAGGATGGCTGAAGACATGTGGACAATACCAAAGTGATGGGCAGTTCAGTTGGATTTGTATAGCATCTAAATTCGACTGCATCGCAAGACTCTGTAAATGAACAGTGGCTATACATACTCTTTGTTTTTTTCGGTAAAGTCACGTAGATTAAAAAAGGAAAACAAATACGTAGCCATCCTGACTGCGTACAACCCGCCGGCGTACATGACAAAAGGCTGCATAATCCCTGCTCGCTTATCTACCTACGCCATCTATATCACAATGCCTCGGCTGTAGCCCAAGTTGTGGCTGCAGCACTCGCCTCCACCTCGGACTTCCCCCCCCCCCTCTCCACAGCCCATCCTGGCTCCTCCTCCTTTTCCCTTCACCGGTATTTAAGGTCGCGTCTCTTGGAGCTCGCTTCTGCTGTTAGAGCAAGTTTTGCTGTGACGGTTCCTCCTGAAGACGGAGGCTTGTGTTGCCTCTGAAACGTCGTGATTTAATTTATTTGTTTTCGTTTTTTAACCTACGTGACTTTACCGAAAAAAACAAAAGGTATGGTTCCTTGCAGTCACGAAAGCTTCAAATCTAGAATTAGTGGATATACACTTGGAAGAGAGGCAGACAGTCGTAGGCCATAAAGGAAGATCGTGGACTTGGGGGAATGGAGTCGGCAGCACGCATGGCTGGAAGCACTGTAGGTAGTTCCAGACAATGGGAGCAGCAGAGGGGAATGAGAAACCTCCCACTAAGTATTCTACACCTCGGCATTGACTGCTGCCGGGGTACCTGCGACGAACTTCACAGCAGATTCGAAACGTGACCACGCCCCTGCTATGATGTTAATCTGCACACAATGGCGGAGGCAGGCACGGGGGAAACCACGTGGTCACAGTTCAGGAAGCCCCGTGTACCACGTGGTGACTGTGAGGGTGAAGAGGGATGTATGTTGAACTTCTTTCGCACCGTACGTAGTCAACCGTGCTAATCGGAGTTGCGGCAGAAGGACAATAAACTAAACACAAAAAGCAGTTCTCAAGAAATGCGTTTTCAATCTAGGTGATTGAAAAGTGCATAGCTTCAGTGGCTTCCTAATATTGGAAGGAAGAGCGTTCCAGACGGCCGCAGAAGCGCATCTGGAAGCACAAGATGCGGTGACCGTCTTTGTTCGATGGTTTGCCAAAAGCTGCTGCTGCGAGGATGACCGGAGTTTGTGTTGTGGTTTATGCTCCTTGACGATATTAGCATGGTATTGCTGTTCATTAGTGGCAAGTACTGTGTATAATGAGTGCGAACTTGTGTTTTCTTCGGGGGGTGAGGAGGGGGGCGAGGGGGGATGGGGAGTTGGATGGCATGGAAGGAATTGCGGCTGGCACAATGGTTGGCAACCAAAATAACGAGAAGAGAATTTCGATTTAAAGCTTTCGTGACTGCAGGGATTCATCTTCTTGGTTCTTTCGGGAAAGTCACGTAGAAGGGAAGTAATAAAATAATAAAAATAAACATAATAAAATAACTCTCACGACGTTTCGGCCACAACGCAAGCAGCCGTCTTCCAGGCTGGAGCGTGCCATTCAGACTCTGTCTACTTGACAGACCTGTTCTCCACCTGAAGACGGCTGCTTGCGTTGTGGCCGAAACGTCGTGAGAATTATTTTATTATGTTTTATTTTTATTATTTTATTACTTCCCTTCTACGTGACTTTACCGAAAGAACCAAGAAGAGAAGAGAATTATTATTTTTGGGAAAATTCCTCAATATTTAAAAAGCCGCAATGCTTGTGGTGAATGCCAGACGACGGCGGTGGCGGTCCTCAATAAACAACGTCACGGGGCAAGTCCTTAAAGAGCCGCGTGCGGCTCCGGAGTCGCAGGTTGCCCGACCACCCCCCCCCCCCCCCCCCCCCCCCCCCTTGGGCTCGCGGATCGACAAAAAGGGGTGCACGCGTTTCTTTCCCGAGACTCCAAAAAAAAAACCCACCACACACACACGGCGCGCCTCCTGGCTTCTTCGTGCGTCGTTTCATTTCACCACCACCACTACCACCACCAGTAACTTAGAACGATGTCGCCTTTTGTAGCACGCGCGCGCGCCTCTCCCCGACAAGGCGCCGCCAGCTGCTCCGCCGGGGGGAGGAGGAGGCATGACGGACGCACGCATGGACATCCCCGTCAGCAAGCAGCAGCAGCAGCGCGTTCTGCGTCGACGCGTACACGCAGGACCTGAGCAGGGAGGGCGTGCGCGTGTGCGGCGTGTGCGGCGACCACGCCACGGGCTACCACTTCAACGCGATGACCTGCGAGGGCTGCAAGGGCTTCTTCAGGTGAGGACGCACGACAGCAGTAGCAGCAGCAGCAGCAGCAGCCACACTCGTCTGTGCCCAGGCTGTCTGACTGCGGCGAGTCGGTATGTATGTGTGTAGCGTATGTTGAACTTCTTTCACACCGTACGTAGACAACCGTGCTAATTGGAGGTGCGGGTTGGGGGAATGGACAACAAACGTAACAGAACAAAAAAGCAGTTCTAAAAAAAGTAGTTTTCAGTCTAGATCAGTGGCGGCTCCTGCTAAATCTCTCAGGGGGGGGGGGGCAAATGTCTGGATGATTGATAAGGATAAGGTCCACCCATGCAATGGATAAATTAACAGCTTAAGCATGTAAAGGCAACTTCACTTCTTTAATATTAATGAAAAATAAAGTGACTCTTACAATACATCTTGTTTGTTTCTATACTCACTTTTAATACAATCCACTCAAGTTGCTTTTATTAAAGATTCCACTAGGTGGCGACAAGTTATATTGTTGGATGAAACGTGCTTACGTATGATGACGTAAGCACGTTAGTGCGAGCCCTCCCAGAAGCCATAGAGAATGCATTGCAGCGCCCCCCGTTCGAAAAAAAACATCTTTGAATGTAAGTCTACGGGGCCACTCGGGGCGATTCTCAGCCGGAGTGAAATCGCCCAAAAAGAGGCGGTACTCCACAGAACGTGACATGACGCTGATTGGACTATATCCAGAGGCACGGTGACGGCTAGCGTGACTCTGTGGTTGAATGACATTGGTGGTGCGTCGCCCAATCGCCCTAATGAAGAAACCGTCCCTGGTATAGATTTAAAAGTGAATAGCTCCAAGTGGCTTCCTGATTTCGGAAGGAAGAACGTTCCAGAGTTCCAGACGGCCGCTGAAGCGCATCTAAAAGCACGAGACGTGTTTTTGTTCGATTAGTTAACCAAAAGCCACCGCTGCGATGATGGTCTATACTCCTTTTGGTTCATTCGCAACAAGCACTTTGTGTGTAATGATTGCGACCATAAAATGAATTTGTTCGGAAAATAGAAGCCAAAGCAGCTCAGCGAGCACTGGACAGATATGGTCGGATCTTGCAGTACCAGCCACGACACGTGCCAAGGTATTTCATACACGCTGCAGTTTGCTAATGTTTTTGGCAGACGTCCCGTAGAGCAGAGAATTGAAATAAGTTCAACTGAACCGTGTTCTGACCAGGTAGAGCTGCGGTCAGAGTGCTCGGCACAATGAGTTCAAATCCTGTGGGGGGACGGCGGGTAATAATCTACTTCACACTTTATATCGATGGTGTCGATAAACAAAACAGTATTAGCCTATAACTTTGAGGCGAGTCACCAATGCTTGCCATAGGAACGTGGAATTTGGGCCACTGTCCCTGGATCTGCTACTGCACGTGATTGCTGACAAGCTGTCTCGCTCGTTGGAGGGGGGTGGGACCATTGCAAGGGGGGGGGGGGGGGCTTCGTCGGGTACTGTGGGCTGGAAGAGACTGATCCTTTGTTGCTACGTAACACTTCCACCCCAAGGCTTCCTTAAGTTTCCATTTGATAAAAAAGTAGGTCAGTAACGAAACACACGTGCTCATAAAGTAAAGAAATTAGATCTGATTTCTAAGTATCTTCCATTATTTTGTCCCACACAACCTACATAATCAAAGAAACCCTGAGCACCACTAAAATTCCACAGCCAAGTGTGCCATTTCACTCCGGTCTGTCGGCTTCCGTTGTTCACCCCGTCACAGCAGCGGCAGTTGGCAGCGCCCAAAAGCAATGTAAAATGTTCCATGCAAACAAGTATAAATGTTTATTCGGTTGTGTTAACGATCCCATCCTCAGCGGTTGTACGTACGTTGTACGCACGCACGGTCAGATTAAGTTTGGTGTTGGGGGAGGGGGTCATTGTTTATTCAATTGCTTCCCTTCACAGTTTTACCACCGGCCCACGTGCCCTATGTCAACTATCCATTGTTCTTCACCTTGGTTGTTTAACTTATACCTTTGGAATCATGTGATACACGAATTGTCGGTAAAAAAAACCCAAAGCCACATCGGACGAAACTATGATTCAGTCCGACGAATCATAACATTCGCTGTGAAGTCCTACGCGGTAAGTTGGACCAAACTAGTTCCACATCGCCACATAGCTGGCAGCAATACGCATCGTGATGCTTTAATGACCAAATCACCTATGTGATTTAGCGTGCACAAACGTCCCCAGTAAACGTGCAACGTTGGGGAAACGTTGGGCCAATCGGTTCCAACTATGTGCCAACATTGACATATGTACTGAGTGCCTGATAGTATTGTTCTGGAAAGCCAATTGGCTGTTGAACTAAATAATATATTAACGTGTGGAGACACGGAACATAATTCAGATCATACATGCTTACAGGATTTATCATAGGCTACAGTATTGCATTTTAATCGTTGTAAAGACGTTTCAAATTGCAATGTTTCTTTCAGAACCCCTCCCAGGCAGTAGGGTTAGTCTAAAAACCCTGTGTTAATTGGATCCTAAACTATATTATCTTATCATACATGTATATAGTGCCTTAACCAAGGCGCTGTACAGTAAACTAACTATGGTACAAGATTGTCGGCGAGATGAGTGGACGGAATTTGTGTAAAATTAGGTGGTAGGGTGGCGATGGGTGTAATCAACGAAGATGGAAATGAGACGGGTGGATTGATGATGGGTGACCATGGAGAGTTGGGCACTAGGAAGGAGTGGGGAAGACAACAAGGGGAGAAGGGTTGGCAAGAGAGAATACGTGGATCCATATGAGAAGAGTGGAAGGGAGTGAAAGAGGGTAATTGTTTGACGTGCAAGGGCAGTTGATTCAAGTGAAGAGGTACTAGGAGAGATAATGAGCGAAAACGAGACTGTGCGCACAGAGAATGAGGAACATACTGTAGACGGCAAAGATCTAGAACCCAGAAAGCGGGCAGGAACGTAAAGTGAGATGAGAGAAGAGAGGTAAAGGAGGGGCTAAGCAGTTGAGAGATGTATTAACTAATGTAAGGAATTTAAAGAGGCAACGATAATAAACAGGAAGCCATTGTAGCTAAATTAGGAGGGGCAATGTGTGAGAATGTAAGGGGAGATTAAATATTATACGGGCAGAGGCGTTTAAAATTTGTTGGCGTGGTTTGAACGCGTAGGATGGTAAACCGATCGTTAGAAAATTGCAATAGTCGGGTCCAGTGAAGATGAGGGAGTGAATAAGTAGTTTGGTGGCAGTGATTGTGATGACACGGCGGATTTTACGAATGTTGTAGAGATGAAAACGGTAGGAATGAGTAGTGGCGTTTATATGGTTAATTAGAGAGATTTATGAGTCTAAAGTTACACCGAGGTTCCGGGCAGACTCTTCCGGAGTAAGAGAAAATGGGGGGAAAGGGGGTAGTGGGACAGGGAGGAAGAGAACATGAAACTGGGAAGAAGATGATTTCTGTTTTTGAAGGGTTGATGGAGACAAAGTGGTGGGTCATCCCAAGCCTGGATGGCGATCAGACAAGAGTAAATGTGCAGAGCAAGGTCCACAGTGAAGGAGGAGAAAGCGAGACACATGTGGGTGTCATCAGCAAAGAAATGATGGGGGAGATTGAACGGTGGGAGAAGGGGATCAAGTGAAGGTAAACTCTTTGGTTCTTTTGGTTAAAGTCACGTAGGTATAACATAAATAACGACGTTTCGGGCGCAACACAAGCGTCCGTCATCAGGTGGGAAAGCATGGTCTGCTGCTGAGGCAGACTGTTTTAAAAGGTTTAAAATGGGTGTAGCTCAAGGGTCATAAAGAAGTGGCCGGGGCTAGTGATGTTAATGTGAGAAATTAGCATGTCGAGGAGGCCGCTCTTCTTCTTTTCTACAGTTACATGCTAATTTCGTTGCTACAACTCAGTGGGCTCTCATGAAATTGTATTTTCCGAGACCAAGGTTATCTGCAAACCTCCTGGCTACCATCAAAGGTTTGTACACGAAGCCATACAAATATACAAACACAGATATAATTCCAACCGTGATGACGGTTACAAACTGAGTAATCATTGGAAAGATGTGATTAACCATGCAAAAAAGATTTAACTACACTTATTCGCCAATCTTATTTGAAAGACAACCATCACAGTTTTACCATGTCTAGTGGTGGTCTCCCTGTTACAGGTTGAGTCACAAACCGCACCTCTCCATAACAAAGGCTCAGCCTTTGTTATGCAGTCTATTCTTAGTCTTAAGCCTCACCTTACCATATTAATAAAAGTATGCGGCCCTTGCCCCACCACCTTCTCCAACCATTATATAAACGGAGTGGTAGCTTCTGCAATCTCTCATTTACTTGATACAGCTGTCGTGGCTGTGACGGTACCACCTGAAGACGGAAGCTTGTGTTGCCTCCGAAACGTCGTGTTTTTTATTTTATTTTACTTTTTAATGTTTTTTTTACCTACGTGAATTTACCGAAAAAAACCTAAGAATATGAATAATTGCAGTCACGAAAGCTTCAAATCTAGAATTAATGCTAATTTCGGTTTCGGTTCAACCCTCTGAATCGACGACGCGCGCGAACACCACGCGTGCCACCGTCGTCAATTCTCATCGGCGGCGCCCGAGTGCCGAAAACAGCGCCGGGTGCATGACTCCTATTCTTAGTTTTTTTCGGTAAAGTCACGTAGGTAAAAACATTAAAAAGTAAAATAAAATAAAAATCACGACGTTTCGGAGGCAACACAAGCTTCCGTCTTCAGGTGGTACCGTCACAGCCACGACGGCTGTATCAAGTAAATGAGAGATTGTAGGAGCTACCACTCCGTTTATATAATGGTCGGAGAAGGTGGTGGGGCAAGGGCCGCATACTTTTTATTAATATGGTAAGGTGAGGCTTAAGACTAAGAATAGACTGCATAACAAAGGCTGAGCCCACCGAGTTGTAGCAAAGGCTGAGCCTTTGTTATGGAGAGGTGCGGTTTGTGACTCAACCTGTAACAGGGAGACCACCACTAAGCATGGTACAACTGTG